ATATGTATCAGTCAGCACTCCATGCTACATTTGTTTTAAATCATTTTCTATTTTCCCTTGGCAAATGTCTTGCTCTATACTCTGAAATCCTATAGAATTAACTTCTTATTTCTTGTCTTGCGTCAGGTTATTCAATAATTCAAAACATAAACAGACATGCATGGTTATTGATTATTCATCTTTTCCCCAAATCTTAATAGAAGTTTGCAAGGAGTTCTGTTTTTTTAAAATTAAAATTTTGCTGTGGTTAGCTGGTATAAGTGAAACCCAAAAGAAAGATAATGTTTCTGCCTACAGCAATATAAAAGTTGTAATTTGCAATATAAGATTGGAGGCAATCCAGAAAAGGTTCACTAGACTGATAGCAGGTTTCAAGGTACTGTTTATGAGGAGAGGTTGAGTAGCGTGGGCCTGCGTTTATTGGAATACAGAAGAATGAGAGGTGATCTTATTGAAGCATACAAGATTCTGAGGGGATTGACAGGGTAGATGCAGAAAAGTTGTTTCCCCATGTGGAAGAGTAGGACCAGAGGACATAATCTCAGAATAAGGGGTCACCTATTTAAAATAGAGGTGAGGAAGAATTTCTTCTCTCAGAGGGTAGTGAATTTGGAATTATTCACCACAGTGTTGTTGAGGCTGTGTTAAGTATGTTTGCGACAGAGATAGACAGATTTTTAATCAGAAAGTATGAAGGTTATAGGAAAAGACAGAACAGTGGAGTTTAGGATGATCAGCTCAACCATAATCTTATTGAAATAAAAACAGAAGTTCCCCGACAAGTTTAGCAGGTTTGGCAGCATCTGTGGAGAGAAATTAATATTTTGGGCCCCGTGACCCTTCCTCAGAACTGCATCCTAGTTCTGAGGAAGGGTCACTGCACGCGAAATGTTGAATCTGATTTCTCTCCACAGACCTGCTGAGCTTTTCCAGCAACTTCTGTTTTGGTTTCTGATTTACAGTATCTGCAATTCTTTCGGTTTTTATTTAGTATAATCTTATTGAAGTCAACTTAATGGGCTGAATGGCCTTCTTCAGCTCCTACATCTTAAGACCATAAGATGTGTTTTGTTTAATTAAATAAGGTAAGTTATATTTTTAGTTACATGTTACTTTGTCCAGTATCAAAGGAGGCTGTTGCTAAGATCTATGAAATAATCATCTGTTGCTGCACTCATCATAGCTTTATGCTTGTGATACATATTTAATGGATTGTTAAATGCTTGGTTAAGTTAATCTGATTTGACATCTTGCATACTTAATTTGTAATCTGCAGGATCTTCTATTTCTGTATTCAGTTCTTCTTTTACGGGTTGACAAAGATCAGGCTTATTCTCTGATCTGAGATAACAAGGTGTAGATCTGGATAAACACAGCAGGCCAAGCAGCATCAGAGGAGCAGGAAGGCTGATGCCTCGGGCCTAGACCCTTCTTCAGAAATATTTATTCTCTGATCTGAAGGTTTTAGTGCTTTTGTTGTTTGGTGTTTGGCTACATTCTGTGGATATATTAGAAAACAATGCCAGCATTTAATGATAGAATAGCAAGTATTCTTTGACCGTCATGCCCTTGATTTTCTTACATGCTGAGTTTCACAATCTTAAAATTGACAGTGTGAGGAGGTGCAAATAGATTTCTACAGCAGTTATGCATTGTGAATTGTCAGCTATTTAAGTTGATAATCAACTTTTCACCCTGTGCTGAGTTATCAGTATTTTATATATGAAAATACAATTTTTAAAAGGAATTTAAGGTTGTTGGTACAAACTGTTGATCAGTACAATGCATAAACGTAATTGGAGGCTATTAGATCCAATCAGTCTTGTTGGAATATAACCTTGAAACTAATGAACAATATTATTCCCATTGTTGTTTGTACATAGGTTTAAGGCAGAAATATTTAATAATGAGTTGATGCTTCCTTCAACTGAAATTCAGTTTTGCAACACATATGTACTTGGTGGTTATGTTCATTAGCAAATGATTTTCTACCCCCACCAATGAGAGATCTTGCCAGATTAAGCTCCAAACAGTTTGGTAAGAACTGAGAGGTGAGTTTCTCCATGAATCACAAGTGTTGACTTTGAGGTTCCACCTCACCAGCTGATCAGAGGTCAGCAGTCTCTGGGTCTTAGAGGTCATTGCTTGATGCCTAGTCTACTAGGGTTCCAACTGTGAGAAGACAAGTCTTTTTCTTTGGGTCTTGCAGGGTAGGGATCACAGGGAGATTGGGTGGTCAAAGAGGTAAGGGCTATAGGGTCTGTCATGCCTCATGCATGAGATGGCAATGGTAAAGTCAATGTCTTAATCTCTGCTCAACATATAATAACGTTCTTTGGGAGATTTGCTGGATTATATGAAAAGTTGAACTGTCTTCCATTGCCTCTCATCCCAACCACCTGATTGGCCCTAGCTTTGAGTAGGTAGAGCCCCTGTTCCCCACAAACCTGACATCACCTTGTCAGGTCTCCCTGGTTTTCCAGTTGGGAGTCTAGCCACTTAGCACTTAGTGGGGAAGGCAGAGAATCAGGTTGGAGAAGAGTTGAGGCCCTTAACTACCTGTTATTTCACCACTTGGGGACCATAACTGCTGGTGAGTTGAGAAGGTCCCCACTGAACCTTCAGGCCCAGTGCTGAATTGCTGAGATATTGAGAAGAGCCAACTCACCCAATTATTTGTCCTTCCTGTCACCTCTCGGGAGGGGAAAGTTGTGCCCTTAGATTCTGAGGAACAGGTAACTTTATTTAAAAGCAATACTGCTGAAAATCTGAAAATAAGAACAGAAAGTGCTGGAGAATCTCAGCATCGTCTTGTGGAACGACAACCAGAATTAGCATTTGAGTTTGATATGATACTTCTTCAAATTGAGTGGATGAAGGTATTTTTAAGCAACTTTTCAATTCCTTTTTTCACTTTTACATTGACTTACAGTATTCTTAATCCGTGATGCCTAAGTGCCCATCAAATCAACAGCAGACAGGAGCTACTTAATAAATATATTGATAGCATCCACTCCATTTTCTACACTTCTACTTTCACTCCTTCCTGTCTGTCCTGCCCTGAATCTTTATGGGGTTAGCTCAGCCCTCTACTTTCATCCCATCGGCTTCTATACTCAAACTATTTTCCACTATTACCTTTATCTTCAGAGTGATGCCAACACCAAGCAATGCTGTATCTCTTTGCATTTCAGCATTCAAAGGACCATTTCTTCCATGACACTTTCGTTTAGCTTTTCATTCACCCCAAAAAATCCCTTCCCCTTTTGCAAATGATCTCCTTATGCAAATGCATGAAACGTGAGGCCTGTACTTCTACTTATTCCCTTCCCACAGTTTAAAATAACAACAACTTTCTTGTTCTTCTTTCAACTGATATAACCATGTGGTCCCCTTTCCACCAAGAAGACCAAATGCAGATTGAGTGACTATTTTCAAGAAGTTTCCAGTTCATTCTCCAAGTATGACCCCAAGCTGCCAATCACCTGCCATTTTAATTCTTTAACCACTCCTACTTTGATCATTTTGTTCTCAGCCCCCTACCTTTCATATAAGCTTTTTGAGAAGCTTTACATTAGGCCCTGTACTGCCTTTTGGACCCAACATTGATTTTGCCAATTTCAGACAATAACCGCTGCAGCTAATTTTGTGGACAACAGATATTAGTAGAGTTTTTAATATTCTCAGTTACCCCACCTCTTGATCTACTTTTATCTGTTGACTTATCTTTACCCGTTCCATTGCTGCTGTCTTTTCCTTTATAACATCATTCCTAAGATTTTGTTCGTTAGATTTCCTAGCTTGCTTGGAAACCTCCCCAAATGGTGGGATCTTTGTTCTTAGGGTGCAAGTGGGATGGGCTGTAGTCTGGCCTGTTGACCTTGAATGCTGATCAGTCATAGCCACTGGAGCTGACAAGTGCCAAGGCAGTCTAATTAAAGGGCTTTCCTCAGTTGCCTTTGACTTCATCGCAGAGTTTGCTCATATTTTAGGCCATTTAATCCTCACTGTATATGCCTATCCATTTCCTCTGACCCATTCATGCTAATTCTACTCCCCATCTTCAGCCCGCAATGGTCCCTTATTCTTTTCCATGCTAACTCATACACCTCTGCCCACCTCTAATGGCCCTTTCATCCCTCTGCCCAACATATACCTGCTACATGCCCCCAATAGCTCCTCATACTCATCATACTGAGTTCAGGATTCTCTTAGGTGTGAGTCATGCCCCCTTGCATCCATCAGCATAATTGAGATGTTGCAAATGAATCCTGGTCTCAGCCACCATTTTTGAAGATTTCCCAATCTCCACAACATTTGTGAAAATTTTGATAATCTCCAGCTATCACAGACCTCCCTTTTTGTTCTCTCTTCCCTTCCCTCTTTCCTGGTCCTGTACTTGGTTAATACCTGTTTTCACCTGAACTGATTAGACGTCATCAACTGAAAATATTAACTCTGTTTCTTTATCTACTAACACTGTCAAATCTGCTGTGTTTTTCTAATATTTTCAGATTTCCAGCATCCACAATATTTCACCTTATTGTTTGGAGAAACAGCACAAAATTCATTCAGAAGCTTGATTTATTTTGTCACTTAGCCACTAAAGAGATGATGTAATAGCAACTATAAGCTTTCAAAAATGTTGAATCATCACTTTAATAATATTTTGGCCATATCAACAGCTATTAAATAGTATTCATAGTTCACATCCTCAGTCAATGTTCAAATGATTTAATCTGAACCCAGGTAGGAATAATCTGAAGCTATTTATTCAATCATTGAGTGAAAAATATCAAAATTGCACTCCTATTATTTTAGCAATATGCTGGTAGTATCAAACCATTTTTGGGAATCTTTCATTGATAGGAATTAATGGCCAGCATGTTGCCAGAAAGGTTGACCATGAAATGCAAATATAATAAATTAATAATATGTGAAATGATGATAACACCCATTAATGCTTATTTGAGAGGAACACTGTTCTTTTTGTTTTGCAGAGAGACACCAAAGGTCAATTCCTCATTGATCACGTTTGCAATCATTTCAGCTTGTTGGAAAAGGATTACTTTGGCATTAGATATGTTGACCCAGAGAAACAAAGGGTATGTATTAATGGATCAAATAGAGAGGAAAAACTCTTTTACTTTCTTATAAGGCAGTAAGAAGTAGGAACAGGAGTAAGGTTGTTCCATTCAGTCGGATCATGGCTGATCCAACATTCATCATATCCGCTTTCCTGTGTTTTCCCCCATAACCCTTGATTCCCCTCCTGATCAAGAATCTATTCATCTCAGCCTTAAATATACATGAGGACTCTGTGCCCCATGGCTGTTTGTGGCAAAGAGTTACAAAGACTCTGAACCCTCTAAGAGAAAAAAAATCCTCATCTCAATCTTCAATTGGCACCCCTTTAATCTGAAACTATGCCCTCTTGTCCTAGACTCTACCATGAGGGGAATATCCTCTCAATATTCACTCTGTCAAGCCCCTTAAGTATCTGATATTTATGTGAAATCACTTCTCATCCTTCGAAATTTCTACTAACTGGATCATTGATGCTCAAATGAGCTGAGGCCTTTCAGTTGTTACCTTGACTGATGCCTCAATAAGAACTGGAGCCCTTTCATTATAGACTGATGTGTGAGTGCATCAATACTTGTAGGCAGAGAGCTAAAAGTGTTGCAGGATCAATGCAGCAACAGATTTGCATGGCTCAGAAATGTAAAGAACATGCACAGCAGCACAGGGTTAAACTTAGGGAAACTTTTACACGTTAAAAATACCAATTATATATAAAGAAAAATAGTTATCAGACCTGCTTCAACTTTATCTCACTACAGCTTATGATGCCTTTAAGTTGTATTGTCAATGGCTGCCCCAGATGAGTACTGTCCGTGTATTACTAGGCATGTTGAGGAAGCAACATTGACAATACTGATACTAAAATATATAGGTGACCTCACTATGTTATTTGATCCCTGTTGAAATAATTTCATAAGTTTCTCTTCTCCCATCATTCCCCAATCCAAAATCTCTTGCAAGGATGAGCATTGATTACTGTGTTAACACTTTAAAAGTGATGTTCCTTTAAAAAGCTTAACTTGTAGATAGGCCAAATAGCTGCATGTCATCACATGACTCTGCATTGTAGAACCCTAGACAAAAGGTGTGTCTAGAAATTACAGTGAAGTGTTTGTTCTGGTTTTAATTGTAAAGAAACTCAGCAAAGATCTTCAAGCAATTGGAATCCATGTATCGTTTTTTTGCATGTGGATAGCATGAACAACTATGGTGTGCAGTGGTCATTGTTTCTTCTGAAACAAAAAGCAGAACAAAGAACACAGCAATGCAGCTTGAAGACTATGGGGAAAAAAAAAAGCAGACAAGATTCAGAAGCACTCCAGAAATTCCTGCAGTACACATAGCAGAAGAAAATAAATACAGAAAATGGTACACAGACACAACACTATGTCAAAAACATAAAGTGTGCACCATAGACTTGTGTAACTGTAAACCAATGCATGTAATTCACAGTCAGACAGACCCAAGATAATTAGAACAGCTTCAACCAGAAGATGGACAGGCTTTCAATGTTGTGCATGTAACACATTGTGTGGGAGAATTCAGGCAATTATAAGCTTTTGTCTCAACCAATGTCATATGCCCAATGAAAAATGGCAAGCAAATTCTCAAAACTAAAACTGACAGACAAGGTAATGCAAATATCCTAACAGTCCAACTTTTGAAAGGAGTGTTCCAGGATCTTTGGAAATCAATGGGACAAGCAAGACCCTAAATTAACTGGATATAATGGGTTACTTATTCCTTACATTGATACATTAACAATGCAATACAGCTGTGGCAACTCAGCATTGAAACCACACATACTTTACCTGGTAGGCTTGAGCAAACTAGCAGTGGCAGGACCACCAGTGTGTAAGGATCTCAAAATTGTGATTATCAACAAGATCACCAAAGTACCCATGCCAACAGAAAAGACCACACATACTTACATTGAGTCAGCTGAGGCTTTACAACAATTGTTCTTGCATAAGTTTGATCCATAAGAAATTTCAAATGCGAAGCTGTCTCACACCTCAGAGAAGATGCCATTCTGTCAATTGACTTCTCATAAAGTGCAGTGTTCCCATATAAGAAAAAACCTAAGTGCGAGCTAGATGATGTGGAATGCAATGGGATAATTCCTGTATAGATTACCAGACAAACCGGTACAGTTCAATAATGTGTGTTCGAGCAAAGGATGGTGCACTCAGAATACGTCTAAATCTGAGATGTATAAACTTCACCATAAAAAGATGTCCAGGAAAAATTCCATTTTGAAGAATTGAATACCAGGTGCATTGGAGGTAAATTCTTCTAAAAGCTGGCAGCCAAACATGGATATTGATTGATACATAGCCAGGGAATTTCAGGAAATTACTACCTTTCAGTTTATCTGTCAGTCACATCGCTTTCAAAAGCATATGGGCAGAATTACATGAATTACAAATGCATTGCTGATGGTATTGTGATAATGGGAAAAACCAAAGAAGTGTACGATTGGTTAAAAGCAAAAAACTGCAAATGGTGGAAATTTGAAGTAAAACCAGAAGGTGCCGGAGAAACTCAGCAGGTCTGTTCAGCATCTGTAGAGAGAGAAACAGAGTTAACATTTTGAGTCCAGTATGACTCTTCTTTGGAACTCCTTTTATTTAAGAACATAAATGGAACCTCTACACTGTGATGGTGGTTTTTCACAAGGACTGTTGTTCAACAAAAAGATGTGCCAACTGAATGTAAGGCAGATTAGTTCTTTATGGCTCTATATATTCAAGTTGTGGAATCTTCCCCAAGCCAGGCCGAGGTGAAGATGTAAGACACAGGCTGTTCCTCCAAGGTAAAGAAGACCAAAGGAGATTCTGTGGATTCTTCAACTTCTTGCCTTCATGCATTCTGAACTTCTCTGACAAAGAATCATCATTGAGTGAGCTCATAAGAATGGTATGGTTATATGTATGGCAGAAGGACTATATTTGAATCTCTCAAAGAAGCATTGTCAGCAGAAAACTGCAATTTGAAGAAGTATGACCAACAGTCCTCTACCCTGATGTTTGTGCTTTTCCATTGGAAGACTGACATAAAGTGTATACTGTGGACTGTACTGAAATCTTCTCCATTATGGGCCCTACTGTTTCCCTAGTTACTGTCTTACTGTATATATTTTTCAAAAACCTTTGTGTTTTCTTTTGTTTTACCCATCAGTGCTTTCTTATGAACTCTCATAGCTTTCCAAATTTTCTTTTTAAGTTACCCCCTGCACTTTTTATATTACTATAGGGACTTTGCTGTATTGAGTGCTTGGTAGGTGTCATGTTTCTCTTCCTTTACCCTAATGCTTATGTCCTTTGAGTTGCCAGGGTTCTCAGATTTTCATCCACGCTTTGTCCTTACGGGGATTCATTTACTCTGTATTCTTGTTATTTCCTCTTGAATGCCTCCCACTGCTCTGACATGGTTTCATCTGTAAGTTCCTAAGCCATTTGAGCTAATATTATCTTATTAAAATTCTTGAAATTAACTTTTCCCCAGTTTGGAACTTCTATTCTTGGCCTATCCCTGTCGTTTTGCATAACTGTTCTAAATCAAACTGACTTATGGTCACCATTTCTAAAATGCTCCCTGACAGATATGCCTTCCACTTGCCCAGGCTCATATTGGAACATTTAAGTCCAGAATTGTACCCTTCTTTATTGAGCTTTTTATAAACTGGTTAAAAAAGATCTCTTAGATGCAATTTAAGAATTTGCTCCCTCCTTACCTTTCAAACTAAAATGATCCCAGTTAATATTTGGATAGTTAAAATCCCCTGCTACACATGATTACACTTCAATGAAATTTGGTTGTATGTTTGATTTCTAACTCTCCCTGACTGTTCAGGGACCTATAGTGCACACTCAACAATGTGTTTACCCCAAGTTCAGCTGTTAAAATTAATTAGGCCTCCCTAATCCAGCTGTCATTCTTGAACTGTTCATCTTTCACAAGGTGACATTTCCACTCATGTCTTAAAGTTGCCCATATTATTTGAGGGTGAGACATATTTTAAATACCAGCTCCAGGCATTGACATTTTTAATGAACAAGACAGAAGTTTTGTTTAAGAGGATGATGTTCAAAATCAGGCTTGTTCAAAATCCTGCTTGCATGCTCCAATTCCTCTGTTTTTCTTTGGAAACATTATTCCCTTTTCAGTGACTCTGTACTGGATCATCTTCATGGTCAACCACCAGCTTTCCTGACCTCCATGGATTGGTCAGATCCCTGTCAATGTTTACTTAATATTGGTAGCTTCCGGTGTGCATTAAATGAGGTCCTTGCACAAAAATGGATGGAATGGACTCTTTGCCATCTGCCTCAATTATGTACAGATTAATCAGATACCTCAAACTTATTATGTTCACTTTATATAGAACTATCTAATTTTGAAAAATAAAACATTTACTTTGTTATTTCCAAGTTTCTGTACATTTTTATAAGAAATGTCTAAATTACAGTATTGGGGGAAAAGAGTTAAACTTTCTTCCACCCAGGTGGAGTCATGTGACCAGACCATAGATTTTGAGGAGTTTTGTTTGAATGATATTCAAATACAATTACTAATATTGTTTAAGCATTCCATCTTCACCAGTGCTGTGTTTCCTGACTCCAGCCATCCTATGTGATTTCTTGCACATTTCACATTTGCTCTAGATATTCAACTGTGTCATGCTATGTCTGATTATAGCGTTAAAACCTATTTTTTAAAAAAAAGTACTTTAACTAGGAGGCAGTGATTGCTTAATGATCTTTCTGATTCCTCAACAAACACAACAAGAGGTTCTTTTGTTTAGTTGCATTTGAAATTTGGTGCATGATTGGTATGTACACAGTAAATGCTGACCAAATACTTCTTTGTTTTTTAAATTCACATTCTTAATATATTCAACTGAACATTTGAAATTAATTGTCAGCTATACAACACAACACAAAGCAATTTGTGTGTGTGAGGCAGAGAGGGAGAAACAAAGAGAAAAAGGATTTGTAATATTGTCTAATTGTTGATCTCCATTTTCTTTCATAGCATTGGCTGGAACCCAACAAGTCAGTTGTGAAGCAAATGAAATGTAAGTTTTGATAGATGCTTTTCTTTGTAAATACAGATTTAAAATTATTGACAGCTTTAAAGTTTATTTTTAATCAATCTGATCAGACATGTTATGATACAATTCTGGGGCATCTGGGACTTGAACCCAAACCTACTAGACACTATAATTTTATTGGCAGTTCAACATAGATCAGGCTTACACTATATTCTGGTATTATCAGTCAATTGTGAAAATGCTAGAAAATTCAGATGGATTCATATCTCAAACTCCAGTTGTATTGCTACTTGGTGATAAGTCATTTAGGTCCAGCTGTCACTCTGTGTTGGTTGCTTGCATTCTGACATCCTGTATGTTTTCATCCCATGTATTTTAGTTAGTTATTGATTTTCTACTACATGTAGATCCCCTTGAAATGATTCTAATTAATAATTAAGACAATTGAATGCCCTTTAATGACATCCATGATCTGCTGCTTTGAATTTTCCCCACTGGAAGATCTTAAGACATCTACACTGGTCTAGTAATCATATTTTGACTGAATAATTTGTTTTGTTACTGTTGTTGGCATAAAGTAGTTAACGTATCTACAATACACACCCAAAACCGAAGACTTGGGTCTTGTTGGAAATTGATTCTTGGTCAATGGGCATTCTGATGCAGCTTTTCAAGTTGGAGTCCTCTCACACTGGAACACTAAATAGAGAGCCAGCCCACTAATGGATCCAGGCAGGAAGTGGGAAAAGGGAAATAAATAACAGTGAAAGCTGACATGGCCAATCATATTACTGGGTAATCTGGAAAAACTCAGATGTTGTTCAGCAGTCCCTTTGGTCACATTAAAGTCTACCAGATGGATAGCGCAAATTTGGAAAACCAAGTTGGGGTATGCATGGCATTTTTTACTTCAAGTCTGGAATGGCTCTGACAGCAAATGTCAAAATGCCTGTATTGCAAATGGCCACTTAGAATGGATTATATAGGGCAGTGATTTTCCTGCTCTTACCCTGACCAAAAGGTCAGCATTCAATCATGAAAAGTCACCTTCTCTGCTACTTATCTCAGGTTGAGACTTTTACCACTCCCTATGAGAAGGCCCCACCTTAGCGATCTCCAAAACAGTTTGAGTGACTGGGAACTCTGTGGTGCGAGCAGGACAGTGTTTTAACAGTGGTCACTGCTGACCCGATGGACATTCCATGAAGAAATGGAGGTTGTGCAAGTCAAACTTCAGCTAAGCCTGACATCTTGGTGAGGCCTGACTGTCCCTAGCATGGGGGCTGGGGACTGGTACTGGGTGGGGGGTTGGGAACCAGGTTTAAGATGCTGTTTGGGGAGGGTTAAAGGTAGTATATGACCATGGAACAAGGAATGCCTTTGACAGGCATAGAAAATGCCCCCAAAGAAGGTCTCATCACTTCTTGGCTATCATCAGCTCTTCCAAGAAAAGCTGCTGGGCTACTTACTTTGGGCTAAATAGTGACAGGGCAGGATTAGACTTTTAATTGATTTATGAATTAGCTGGCCTGACCTAAGGTTTTTGGAGTAGATTTGTAGCTCGGGTTGTGGGTGTTGAGGTTGGTTGGCTTGCCGAGCTTGTTTGTTGTTCCACAGACATTTCGTTACCATGCTGGGTAACATCCTCAGTGCAGCCTCCGATGAAGCGTCGGTGTGTTTTCCCACCTGGTTTTTAAACTGGAGTCCGTTGAGCTGGATTGCCTCACTTCCGGTTTTCCTTCGTAGTGGAGTGTATACGAGGTCGAGTTCTATGTGTTTATTGATGGCTTTCTTCGGGGAGTGCCAGGCTTCTAGGAATTCCCGTGCCTGTCTCTGCTTAGCTTGTCCCAGGATTTTGATGTTGTCCCAGTTGAATTGGTGGTTCTCTTTATCCATGTGGATTCATATGATGAATATTGGTCGTGTCTTTTTGTAGCCAGTTGGTGTTCGTGTACCCTTGTTGTTAGTTTCCTTCCTGTTTGTCCGATGTAGTGTTTCTCACAGTCTCTGCAGGGGATCTTATAGATGACATTGGTCCTGTCCACGGCGGGGAGTGGGTCTTTAGTTCGGGTGAGCAGTTGTTGTAGGGTTGATGTGGGCTTGTGTGCCACTCTGATGCCCAGCAGCCTGACCTGTCCACTACCATTCGCACCCCCCTGGATTTTCAATATTGCAGGGATGTTAGATCTGACATTTTTCAGATGTAATACTAAAACCATGGATGGAATCTTACTTTCTTGAGATTTAGTGTGGCAGTGGGCCTAAACGCAGCAGATACTTGGGGATGGGGTTGGGATTTCATAGAATCATAGAATCCCTACAGTGCAGATAGAGGCCATTCAGCCATTGAGTCTGCACCGAATCTCTGAAGAGATCCCACCCAGGCCTACCCAGACCCACCCTATCCCAGTGACCCTGCATTTGTCATGGGTAATCCACATAACCTGCTCATTCCTGGATACTACAGGGCAATTTAGCCTGGCCAATCCGCCTAACCTGTGTAATGAGTTTCTTCTCAGCTCGTTGTCTATTCGTGTATGGATAGAACACCAGATTTTACGAGCAGGCAGTAAAACGTTCCATCTACTCCTGGGATTTTCTGGATTCCAACTTCTGGACATCATATTTAAAAGGCATCTAGACAGCACTTCACCCTGTGCACACCAGGAGAATCACTCAACCTGTACTAATCACCCCTGCCCACCCATGCAGATGTCAGAGACAAGATAAAAAGCAGTGCCATGCTTTAGCAGTACGTCACTATAAGTTCTCCTGAAGGCTGTCCAGGAAAGAAAGTAAGTGTTTTTCTCTAGGGACGGCAAAAGGATGCCATCCTGACTGACGAAGGGAGGCTGGGCAGACATAGCTGTGGAGGTCAGTGGCTCAGGAGATCTTGCTGCAGTGCCACAAGAGGAAAAATGATCTGCTGCACGTGGCTAGGGTGTGTGCAATTGTCTTCAATGTGTCATGCCACTATGAGTTTGAGTTGGCATTGTAAGAGCACTGTCACAGATAAGATTGTGTGACAGGACTCTCCATTACATGTCTCATGTGCAGTCAGTTTCTTTTTAAGGGTTTTGCAGCTACCAGTGAGGCACAACTTGCACCACTGGCTCTTACATAATTGTCAGTGTTTGCACTTACAACAGCAAAGGAGCTATAATATTTAACAGCATGCGTGACCAGATCATTGATATTTCTTGATGGGGCAACATGGTGGCTCAGTGGTTAGCACTGCTGCCTCACAGCGCCAGGGACCCGGTTTTGATTCCATCCTCGGATGAATGTCTGTGTGGAGTTTGCACGTTCTCCCTGTGTCTGCATGGGTTTTCTCTGGGTGGTCCGGTTTCTTCCTCCAGTCCAAAGACGTGCAGGTTCGGTGGATTGGCCATGCTAAATTGCCATGTAGTGTCCAGGGGGGTGCAGGCTAGGTGGATTAGCTCTGAGAAATGCTGGGTTGCGAGGGTGGGGTAGGGTGCTGGGTCTGGGTGTGACGCTGCTCGGAGGTTAGGTATGAACTGAATGGGCCGAATGGCCTGCTTCTGCACTGTAGAGATTCTATTCTATGATTTGATTTGCATCTACTGTTAGACGACACCAAATCACCTATTAATTAGAACCATTAAATTCTTACCTTCCCCAATACCATATTCATTTTACTGGTAATGCCCCTGTGATACAACCATAAAAAAATTGAAATCTACTGCCTGCATACTATTCTGTTTTATGTCCTTAACTTCCAAATACACAGGCCTGTAAATACTTTGCCACACTCCTTCCCTGCTCACCGCACCACCCCCCCACCCCCCCCCAACCCCAACCCCCCAAACTATCACCACTACTGATGATTCTTAAATGGCTGATGAATGATGTAATGATCATGAAGGGATCTACGATTCTATGATTCGATGTTTGTGATATATTGGCTCCATGCATTCTACTGATATCACACACAGTTTGAGGGTGGCTTTCCGAGGGAGATAATATATCTGTATCAGCTCCCCAAGGTTCTCATAATAAAGACCCTCTTTTGTACTGTATGATTCTATATAATTCTGTCCAAATGAATTGGCCTTATTGCTTTCATGCAATAAGCCTTGTTGTTATATAAAAACAGTGCCTCATCTTCAGATACTGTACACTGTGGTATCCTCTATCACGAATCAATAGATTGACCGAAGACAAAATAACTACCTCAAATAACACTTACCCATTATCACTTACTATAGAGGTGACATACACTGCAAGGTGCAAGCAGTGTTCATCGGGGAAAATATCACAGCACCCTTCTGGTCAAAGGTTAATGAAAGGTGAGACATGGTTAAGATGTTGATGTTTGGAATTGTCAGAGCTTATTCACTTTATTCTGCAATGAGTGCTTCCCTTTGCTGAAAAACCCTTAATTGTGTGTTGATGTAAGAATATTTTGTAGTTTTTGTTTCAATTCCCTCAGTTAGGTGTGTTTGGAGTGTGGAGGAATACATGCAAACAGATCCATCCACCACACTTTGCTTTGTGCATTATCTAATCCTTGTTTACAAAAGTGATTTCTAGAAAGATGGTGATGGTAAATCTTTTCTTTGAGTCACTCACTCTCAACCCTCTCCCTCTCCTTCTAGAGTGCACTCTTCTCGCTCTTCCCCCCCCACACACAAACACACACATACCCATAAGTGTAGATGGCCTTCTTTTACTCTGATATCCGCCTGTCCATCTTCAATTGTCACCCCCCGCCAAACTCCCACACCCCACTCCCACCCAATGATTGTCAGCCCATTCACTATCTCCCTTCATACTCCTGCTCTTCCCTTTATCCCATTTCCTTCCCAGTTTCCATGCCAGCCCTAGCCTTACATTGTCTAACATTCAATGCACCTGTTCTCCTTTCACAGTGCACATAATTACCCCATTGTATTCCCCACCCTTTTGTATAGTCTTCCTTGTCAATGTGCTTCTATCTCTGCCACTCTCTCCTTAAATTCCTTTTGCTTTCATCCATTTGCCTGGATCCTTTCAGTGCCTCA